GATTCTGGCCCTGGGCAGGGAGTTGAAATAGAAGACTCCCAAGGTCCCTTCTGATTGATTTTATGATATATAAATCCACTCTTTAACAATAAGGCATTGTAAGGTGGATAGGTTCCTAGTCTTGGGAGTGAGGATTCAACCTGTTTTCGCTGGTCTGGCATTCCCTGTGAAAGATCAGTTCCCAGCTTGGGAGATTTAATCCATTCTAGTTATTAGAGGAACTGTTTGAAAGCTCATTTTCTGGAGACTATAGTAAACTGCAGGACCAGGGTCAGATACTTTTACATTGTTCTCTGTGGATCCTTGCCTGTTGCTACAAGGTGCTACAAGAATTTCTCTTGTTTACGTGAAAGAGTTTACTAGATCTGATAAAATAGTCTCAAGGAGTACATAAAAAAGAATATTTAAAAACTGGGATAAAGATTTGGAGAGAGAAAATTATCTTTTGGTTGTATGGGATTCATGTTTTGGTAGTTGTGCAATATAAAAGAAAGTATAAATTAACATGCATCAATATATTTGGCATGGAAATTACGGAATTTGTGATGAGAAATATAGGAGTTGCAGTCACCAAAAGTGCTGTGTATATAGCAGAGGGAGAACTTGATTATAATATTGCGCTGAACAGAATGCGCTCTGTGAAACTCGCAGTTCTCTGCTGAATAGAAGTGGAAGCACATTCATGCAGGATCACTGACAGAATTTATAGGAGCCCCCTCCCCCTTTTAAGCAAAATACATTTAGTTCTGTCAGTGCCAGTATATTTCTAAACTATATTTGTGCTTTGTGTACAACTTTTTGAAAAGTTACAAATACAAGAGAGAAGTAGCATATTTTCCCAAGCAGAAAGTATTCAGGTCATTCACACATCCTTCTAAACTATACTACAGTTAGGCTTGTGATGTTGCCAGATCCAGAATATGGCTGACACTGTGGATATTGCCAGATCCAGAATATGGCTGACACAGAATTTTAATCATAGTCTACCACTATGGCTTATTTCAGGTTTGCATACTTTAGAGTCTGAGCCCAGGTGTTGTCCACATCCCTTCATCTTCCAGACAGAGAACTAGCAGTACAAAAAGTCCTTAAGCAGTGCTAATCCTGCAGCATTGTCTCTGCTCCTGTGGATTCCTTAAAGTTCTTTATAAAAACAAAGGGGTTGGGTGGGAATTCCTGAACTCTGAATGTTGGTGCTCTGACTCAGAGGTAATTACCATGTATCTGAATTTCTGTTTGCTAAAAACAAATTAAAACAACAACATGCAAGTAATGACCTACCAACAACTCCAATCCAGGCCGGGGTAATAACTGAGTAGGAGAGGAGTAGCAAACTGTCACCAACAATGGTTTGCTAAGTTAGTTGGGGCTTTTTTTAAACTTACATGCTAAAATGTAAAACTAAATACATTTTTATTTATTTAGTGTGTTGCCTTGTGTTGTGTTGCCTTTCTCCAGAAATTGTGTTGCCTTTCTCCAGAAATTAAAACTCTTCAAAATTTGTGTAGCTACACTTACTACAGAATTGGATGTTGTAATTTTTCAGATTTCTACTCAGTATTTCTTACTCGCTACTTAGATATATGGTACTTTTGTATCTCATTTTAAGACATTAAGGAAGTAAAGTGATTTTGCTGTTATCTTTACATATTTTGCTTTTGTCAATGCTTTGAATTCTACTTAGTAGCAGTTTAAATGCAGTCATCCCTTTGTAGAACTAAGAAACATTTTTAAAGCAGAAAACCCTACCAAAATTTCCAATGTCAAATTGAATTTGAGGATTTGTTACCTTAATAATAATTAAATTGTGTTCTAAGATTGGGAGAAATATACATTTTCTGAAAGAAATAAGGATTACTGTGTGCTGATTTGAGCCAAAAGCCTGTTTCTGATACGTAATTTCTTTGTTTTTGGCTTAACATAATGCATGAATTCATCGTATTATGAGAGGAGCAGGCAGCCCTTTTGTGGCTAGTGGACAAATTTTTGGTGGCTAGGACCACAATTAGTATTTTACTGGCAAGCCAAGGGCTACAATGGGCAGGGTGATGATTCAGAGAAGGTGGCCACATCATGTATTTAGGTTTTTGTGGGGAGGTTCAGTCTTATTATGTATTATCCCTATTTTACAGCTATGCTGCAGTTTCCTACTTTAAATGCTGTGTTACTATGATATTGCTTTCAACAGTCACAGTAAGAGGGGGCTCTTGGGTTGCAAAAGAGACTAGCAACTTCATGCAGGTCTACAGTATATAGCTGCATTGTGATTCAGCATTATGTGGTAAACCCATAATGCTCACAAACCCTAGAAAAATGTGTGAATGCGGCCTGAGAAAACTATAACTACATATATATATCCTCTGAATAATATGATGCATGTTATATGATGCATGTTTGTATATTCTGCTTTATATTCCTGGAGTAACTTGGTGAGGGGCTTGAGTTAATTGTTGAACCTAAATATGCATTTAGGGGGATGCTCAGGCATCTGGATTTTGCACCTGGTTGACATATGTATGGGTTGTGTTGGATCATCTTAATTTCAGACGTAACCTTTGTTCTGGGTTATGCGCAATATGTTAAAATGTTTTTAATTTTATGTGCAGGCAGTTAAAGTAACAAAGAAAAGGTAGAAATGAATACATTTTGCATAATTTGTTCCACACATTTTCTAAACTGAATAATTTATCTAGTTTTCCTGGCCATGGGAGAGGCAAGAACAGTGAAGCTTAACTAAAAAGGATCAATTATAATTGTAAAAAAAATCCAAGTCCAAACTGACAGCTGTTTTTTAGATGTGTTGCTGAAGAGAACTTTTCTCAAGTAGTTCCTATGAACTATGAACCCTATGCAGTTTCTACATGAAGTGTTTCCGTTCATTAAAAGTTTACTTGAAACAAGTTGGAAAACATGTTTATGTGTACAGCTGTTTTGTTGTTCTTCTAACAGTAACTCTGGATCTCTGTTCCACCTAAAGTCTTATTTAGCCATATTAGATTAGTGGAACTGGCCAATTGCTTTCAAGCATATTTTTATGCATATAATGATGATAAAGATAACCTCCATGGGGGTGGGGGTTAAGATCAAGGTCAATAAGATCATTACATGAATTGTTCAATCAGTATTGATTTGGGGATTTTATCAGTATGCAAAACAGATAGTAAACTCCATAAATTATATGGACTGTCATTCATCTTCTGTGCTGCCATAATATTTCTGACAATTCCTCATCTTATGATAACATTTAACTCTTGTTAACATCTAGACTTGAACAAAAATGTTCTTCCTTCCTATTCTCTAATACTTTATTCTTCCAGATACAAAATTCTGAATAACCGATCATATTCTAAAGATCCTGAGCAAGATTATTTCTGTTGAGAAATTTATGCTGAACTGACACAGTGGTTAGTATATTCCATATGCAATATTCTGGAGAGTTGGTTTCTATTTCAGAATGTTGATCTATATGTATAATTGATGGTTGATATAGGTATTTGTATTTACTGTATGGTATAGCTTTTACACTGAAAAAGCTACTACCTTGGTGCGTAATCCAGCCAAAGATAAGTATAATGAAGCTCTGCTATATTGGTGAGAGAGAGATAAGAATTAATAATTCCACTAAAACTAACAAAGGTCTGAGACATTTAAACTGCCTGAATTTTGTCTTGTTCCAGATAGATCCCTGATGGATAAAATCCCCGAAGAGCCCTTTTAAATATTTTTAGCCATGAGTTTGCACTGTCATCTTGCTTGAGGAAATGATCTCGTTAGAGTATGACTGTGTAAAGGTGGTATAACTTGACTTCCAAGATGGCTTCTTGTTGTTGCTGTTGCTATTATTACAAATTCCACTGTGATTGGGGAACATCTGTTTTACAGGCACTAAAATGTTATAAATTATTTTCTCTCTGTTAATTTCTACATACATTTATAGGCACACTTACGTATGTTATGTGTGTGCATATGTATGTGTGAACACTCAGCACTTGAGAGTGTTCAGCTGACATCCAATGTTCTGTGAGTGTGTGAGGATGAGGTGAAGGTACTCCAAGAAAGCATTCTTCAGTGCAGGGGACCAAGAGATGGTGTGGAATATGTAGAACCGGCTTTGACTTTAGTTCCAAGTGATGATAAGTGATACTAACACTAACTGGGCCTGCTGTTATCACAACTGCAGCATTCAGGGAGAGAAGTTTTCACTTCTTCTGCAATACTAACAACAATAAAAACTGATCTGCAAATAATAGTAGAAAAAAAATAGACTCATTTTTTATCAGGATCATTGTGAGAGTCATGTGAGTTTTAAACTAAAAAAAAAAAAGTTACTCCTGCCTCCCCTTTTTGAAACACAGCCACATACACAAAACCTAAAAAAAAAAAAAGGTTGGGTGGGGTGGAAGTCATATAAAACTCCATACATGGGGGCATGACATAATATTACATATGTATCTCTTTGCTGTGAAAGCTTAAGAGAAGGTGGACTGCATGAAACATTCTGATAGTGCTTCTAGATATCCTCTCCTGCAGTTGCTGAGTGCCAGGACCATAAATAGTTCCTAAAGCTAATGTACTGAATATAGTTATCTGAAGTGTGAAGATCTGTGAGTTCAATTCTCAGTAGAGGGTTTGAACCCCATAGAATAACTTGGCTACCCGTGTCTGAAGATGCCCAATAAGGATGAAACCAGTAATGTGGTGCCTCCTGGTGGTTACTGTAACTAAAAAAAACACCACCTAGGATGTGTAAAAATAAAGAAATCCCCCCTGCCTTGGGTGAAAGTTATGTAAACCTCAAAAATGGGGATATAACATAAAATCTGTATCTCTGCTTTGAGAGCTTAAGGGAAGGTGGACTGCATATACCTTTCTGACAGTAGTACTGATGGAGTAGTTAATTTACTTGCAGTAGAATCTCCTATGGAGAAGCTGTGATGAGGTATTTATTTATTTAATGTGACATTTCAGAAGCAACACACAACTTGCCATTGCAGTTGGTTTCAGAAGTTTTATTTTTTGCATTTTAGTCATGGACGTCATTATCCTTAAATATCCTTGTTGCCAAAAGAAGTTAAAACAGAACAGTGAATAACTACTAATGGCATGCTCCATGGCTCCATTCAGTCTGCCTTTTCATCAAATGTAAAGGGGATAGCTGAGAGATACCTTTCTTGAGATTTAAATGACAACACATGTTTGAAATGGTACTTGGAAATAATAGTAAGAAAAGAGACTGGCATATAGCAATAGGAAGGCAAGGAAAAGAAAGTTGCCCTAATATTAGCCATATAATTGGTACACCTAGCTGCTCAAGTGGTTGTTTTGTTTAAACAACAACAAAAAAGTATGGATCCCATGTATTTAATTTTTCTCAATGTGTATATATTTTGTTCTTTAAGGATTTACATTCATATAGAAGTTAAAATAACCTGTGTTGTTCTAAAGGCAAAAGGGCAAGCAGAAGTGTATAATGTCACAGAATTTGGGATCCTTTTGAGCAGTGTAGAAAATTTTCTACTTGCACAAAAATGTAAAAAATTGAAGTTTACAGGCAAAAAAGCAAACTGAAACATCAGATGATGTCCATCAATAAGAATGCGTTTTTCTGATCACATTGGTAGATTTATGCAGTATTTTGAAAGCCTTGAATGCTGCAAATTATAGGACTTAGTTCTCAGTAATAGATTTTCTTTCTGCCACATCCTGGGGACATTTATGGAGTATGAGTTGAAACATTCATGCAGCAATGCAATCTCCGTGATTTAGCCAAGATTGTACTGGTTTTCTGGAATAGAATAAAAAATCAAGATAAAAGCTATGTTCTTGTATGAACAAGGTGATAAAAACTTATTTTGTATGCTGGATATGATATGTAATCAGTTGAATAATTGTATCTAACTAGTGGCATGATAGTATGCATAAAAAACCCACAAAACTTATTATAATCCTTTTTCCTATGAAATTCATATTTCCCCTTATTTTATTAAAATAAGGAGGGTTAGGATGGTTATCAAAAATCATTTTAAAATGATGAAATCTTCTTTAAGGACATGTCTGGTTTCTTCCACAGTTTTTCCATACAGCACAGTTAAAATGCATGCCTACTCTTGTGTCTGTTAATTTTCAGCATCATTTTGGCACATTTGAATATATTCTGTTTTCCTATATGCATAGATCATGTGATAACAGATTTTTAAAATCTATCCTATGATAGCTATCCTATGAATTGACATTATTATGGTTTTTGTTGTTGTTTATTAAATGTATATGCCACCCGACTCTCAATGACATAATGTTTAGAAGTTTTGTAAAATAATTTATGATGTGATGTCAGAGTTTCTGTAGATCTACATGCATTCATTATGTTTGCTTGGCATTTAAATGTAAGTAAACGTTTTTCAGATGTTCATTTGTTTACATTGTTAGGCCTTCAGGATAAACCTGCCGTCTGATCTCTTTCCCTCTGCAATCACATCCTTGTGATCAGACAGTACTAGGAAACATCTTCCAGTTTCTTGAGGGACATTCCTTAAAACTTTGGAAAAACTATAGATTTGGCAGTTGCTGAATTTAAGAGCCTTTCCTTTTATTTTTATAGGAACATGGTCCCAAAATGTTGAAACATTTGGTTGATTATTATTTTAGTAATTAATTATTGCAATCCAGTATTTATTAAATAATGTGCAAAAAGTATAAAAATAGGATACAGAACAGTTGAAAAAGTTCTAAAAATATTTGCAATATCCTATCAATTTTGAGGTTAAGATTGAATTCCAGTAGAAATATGTCACAGCCAACTTATCATATCCATTGAATTCTAGGTGCTTGTTGCCAACTTTTTATAGATAACAGTAGATAGAGCCTTTTTTTCAAAATGTTTGAGAAAAGAATTTGCAAGCAAAGTTTCTAAAATTGTACAATAAATCTGTGAATCATTGACAACAATATAAAAAATATATATTTTATTATAGATTAGAATTCTGTTTTAGAGGGGGAAAGATTAGTCTTGATATTTTTGCAGGTTTAAGAGTTTGTGTTCAATGGCTAGCAGTTGCACAAAGAGAAGGCACAACTATCTGTTTATTCTTAACCAGTGATTTAGGCTTTACACAGGATTTTACTTTTAATACATTAGCAATTTAAGATAATTTTCTTTAATACGTACCAGTGAGACTCTCTTACAGAGCTCTACTAAGTAAAGTGACTATCAGGCAGAGGGCCTTCTTGTCTATGGCATCCCAGCTGTGGAATCATCTTTTAGTTAGGATTGCTTGCCTATTGTCATCTTAGCATTGTTTATTAAACTGCTTGTAAAGATTTTTCTGTTGACTTCTTTCATTTTTCCACTTAACGGAGGTTTTGGTGTACTGAACCACTCATATGTGCTAAATAAATCTACTTTTATTCTGTATAGAAATCATTTATCAACAACATAGAAATGAATGTGGTAGTGAATATCTTGAAGAATTAAGGCTTCAATGAGAACTCTACCAAACTAACTGAATCATTAAATGGAAGGCTGCTTGACTGATATCTCTCTTTTACCATCCAGTCAACATCTCAATACAGCATGTTTGGCAAGAAGACAAAATCTTTCTTGAGCTCTTCACAATGACCTTGGAATAAATTCTCAAAGGTCTCAATTGGAGAGAGAGATGTATCAACATCAACTGCAAGAGGCTGACCCATCTCTGGTTTGGTGGTGACATTTTGTTCATCAGCCACAATGTCCAAGCAGCAAAGTAGTGTCTAAATGAGCTTGATGTAGTGAGAAGAGCAGTCAGCCAAAAAATCAACAGGAACAAGATTCAATATTTGTGAAATCAATTCTACCCATACCATGGAATGAAACTAGATGATGAGGGTACAAGATGTAAATTCTTACATCTAGCTTTGCCAGGAGATCAGTGCCCCGCACATGGTTGCCCCAAGAGTTATCATGCTGAAAAACTGTAGCATGGCTCAGTGTAAACCACATAAAAACAGTACTAAAACAGGTGGGAAACATCAAAGCATGAGTGGACATCTTCAGTGCCATGATTATACCAGTGATGATCTATTGCTGCAAGGTGTGGAATCTAAGAAAATCGGAAATGAAGAAGCTTTGAGTTATGCCATGTGCAATGGAGAGATGAGTGCAAAAGATCTTATTCATAGATCAAATCCCAAATGTATAAATTTGCTGTAAGGCCAACGTTAAAGACATTATCAGAGTAGCACTAAAACAGAAATACAAGTGGGTAGGACATGTCATTATCATAATGTCTCGTAACAGTTGGGCCTGAAATATGAAATTCTGATGGCCTTAAAACTTCATATGTTTACGAGGTCAATCCCTTATGAGATGGAGAGACAAAATATGGAAAACCTTGGTCCCAGCTGGAATACTATAGCGATGGACCATATACAATAAAAGCATCTATTGGCATAGTCACTTCAGGCAGTAAACCTACCCAAATAGATAAAACAATCAAAGTATTCAGATCATGCTGTAATCCCAGGGTTTGGAAACTGTGGGTCACAACTGTCTGGAGCTCATGAGCAAATTTGAAGGGGATTGCAAATTTGAAGTAGCTTGTGCATGTGAAGCCTGAAATGAGTTATAATGGGACTGGCTTTGTGTGTACAGTCCTCATGGCCCATCCCCACATTGTCCAAGGTAAATGCTCTCTAACCTGGATTTTCAAGGCTGACTCCATTCTGTGAGCTCTTGATTGGAAATTGCCAAGAAAGAAATCTTGAAAGCACAGGGAGTCTTCTGTCTGCTTATGTTGCCTGTTGTCTTGGGATGCTAGGGTAGTTGTGTGGGGATGAACTGATGCAGAAAAAAGGCTTGATTCCCAGTAGCAAATGCACTTGACAATAAGAGTCAAAGGAGGCTGTCCAAAGCAGGACTACAAGAAGGCTAGATGATGGAGGGGAGGCAGATACCACATTGACCCAGTGGCTTGTGAATTACTCTCCATACTGGGTGATAGATTTCCTTAGCTGAGATGCTGAAATGAGTGCCTTCCTTTTTTCTGGGGATACTGGTAATATCAGAACACCTATCTTAGGAAAGAATTCCCCAAGCTTATATTAATTTCTGGAAACCTGAACCACACCTTTCAGTCCCAAATAAAGGGTACAGGTAGTCCTCGGGTTATGGCCCTTATTGGGACCGGAATTTCTGGCACTAAGCAAAGTGATAATTAAATAAAACATCACATGACTGCATTGTTTAGCAATGGCAGTTCTGGATGTGGTCATTAGGTGAGGACCTCACACTTCTCCTGCCTTGCACGAACTGCCTCTGCTTCAACTGCCCCCACCTGCCTATCTCCCCCCATCTCTGCCCTTTTGGTTACCCTGCACTCCACCACCTACCCCTGCTACCACTACCCCTAGCTGACCTTTGCCATCTCCTTCCCACTGCTAGTCCAAGATCCAGGTGCTGGGTGAGGTGCAGTCCGGGACACACGTGATGAGTGCGGCAAGGTGGTGGAGCCTTTTCGGCTGAAGGGAGCTCACTTGCCCCAGCCGGGGAGGAAGCAGCAGGATGGAGCTGGCAGAGGAGCCGCATCTTCTGCTGGTGTGAGGAGTGTTAGCCAGTTGACCATGGAGAGCACAGAGAGGAGGAGGCAGTGGCAGCTCCCCAGGTGAAGGTGCTGGCTATGTGGGAGGTGCTGTTTGGAGTGGCGGTGGAACTGGAGGAAGCAGAGGGACAAGGACTTCCCTGAGGCTCAACATGCACTCTGCAGCTCTCAGTGGAAGCTGCTGGCCCTTCATGAGGCCTTGCAGGAGGAAGGCTGGGCCAAGCAAGCAGTGGGCCTGCGGGTAGGCTCTGTTGGCTCTGGGCTCACCTCCACCCCTCACTGAAGCCTACAGGCCAGTTCTCCAGGAATGTTTCCAACGCAAGCCGCAGAGCATTATGTTGTTCAATTCCAATTACCTTTTAGTCTATGTTAAATCTTTCTCCTAATTGTGTGTATGAAAACTATTGAAAACTAAATCCCTCTATTGTCAACTGTTCTCTTGACTTCATTTTAAGTCCTCCATCTTCCTGTACTAACAAATCTTGATATGTTAACCATGTGATATTGCACTTTATGACTACATCACTTAGTGATAAAAATTCCGTTCCCAACTGCCATAGTAACCTGAGGACTACCTGTATTAATCTAAGTCTGACTGAACTCTGGGAAGCGCTCTTGGTGGCAGGATGTCATATTTTTTCAGAAGCATATTTGAGAGAGGTTGAGAGGACCTTCCCCCGCAACTGTCTCAATGTCTTACCACTAACTGTCTGTAAACACATCCTATTTCCCCATACACATGTGACTTGCAGACTGGATTGCCTACAGAATAATGCTAGCAGATTTTCTTAAGACAGTGACTAGTTAATGTGCAGTGCAATTTTATTCCTGGGGTGGGTTCATGCATATACATTTATCATGTTAGAAGGTCACAGCACTGCAGTGTTTGAGAACGTCTACTGTAATTATCTCAAAAAGCAGTGCTGTTACAGAGCTTTGAATAAATATATTATTAATAATTCATATTTTAAATAGAATTGTATACAGTTCCCTGGCAGGGGTTTGGACAGAGTCCTAAAGGAGGCTTTGTCTTAAGGCAAGGAATCAAAGAATATGAGAGAGAAGGGTGGGTTGGATTTTAAGGTCAGTGGCCAGCTAATTCAATGTGCCTGAACATCCCACAAAGACTTTAATTATTTTCTAGGGTAGATTGGATAAGTATCAACATTTTTAAATGTTTCATAAAACCCATGCTATTTTCTTTTAGAAT